TTTTTCTATAAAGGACTGTTGTTGGGGAGAATTTGGATTGTGTGGAAAAGGGCAAAATTGGAAGAATAAAAAGTAATGGTCATTTGTGGTATTTTTTTAATTATATTTTTAAAATTAGTTAGTACTACCTCCTATTTTTAATAGATGTCGTTTTGAAAAGTTGCACATTATTTAAGAATATTTTTTTTGTCAATAATAACCTTATTTAATGAAGATAGAGATGAATATTTTGAGAAAAAAATGAAGAGTGAATATGAAAAGACGTAATGTATTTATTAGCTAAATGAGGGTAATAATGAAAAAATATGTACAAAAGATCCAAAATGACATTTATTTAGTAAATAGTTGATAAAGATAGAATGACATTTAGAAAAAATAGGAGAGAGTATATTATTTACAACTCTATAGATTTGATTTAATTTATTTTCTTAAGACAAAATAAGTTTTATTGTATTGTGATTATATTTTATAATTTCTCTTCTTTATTAGGTTTTTAATTATTTTAAATTGGTATGCTTTAATAATTTAGAATACTAATTTACGTAAAAAATGTATTGGTTTGTAACTTTATGCAAAATAATTTTATTTTTTTTTAGTTATGATATTTTTTATATTTATTTTTTTAAACAATATAATAACATTCAATTATTTATATAATTTATTAAATCGAAAAATAATATTTTATAATATTTTTTAAAATTATTTTATGTAATAGTTAATTTTCATATATTATCCACAATTTATGGAAAAAAACACATTAAAATATTTATTTTATTGTGTATTATAGAATTAGATTTTTATATTTTTATAAATTAATTTATATTGTTATTTGATATTTTTTATAATTGATCTGATAATGAAATTAGTTTTATTCGCGATCGTCAACGATCCTTAATTACGGGATTAAGGGATGATGAGTTATGATTAAATAAGGGGTTGATATGATTTATGTGGGTGATAAACAAAGTGTTGTACGAAATAACGAAATAATAAACAACACACGATTTCACTGATCTGTTAAGAGATCGATAAGGACAAAAGTTCTCCTAAAGTGAGACTTGCAATGAGTGTATTTTGTTACAATAGTGGCTATGAATTGAGCTAGTGTATGCTCATATGTTGTTATATTGTTATGGTATGAGATTTGTTAGTACATATTTGTATGTGTATATTTTGCGCGCGCTCTCTTTCTTTCTCTCCGCTTGAAAAATAAGGATCCAAGAGCCTTCTTTATATACGGAGATAGGTGAAATGTAATCATATCCACTTGTCACCTTGATAGCTAAGAAAAAGACATCTGGTGCCATGCAGAAATTTGCCTTTTTTAAGCATGGAATGTATATATTCTTCAGATCTGCAAGATATGACTGGTTTGGATGAAGAGACAAGACTTTTTAGGCGGTTATTTCACTGTATTTAGCAGCTTTACAAGTTTGTTCTGTCAGAGCGCGTTCATATATTGTAGAGCGAGCGACAATCAGGGGATCGATACTGACGATCGAGCGATCGACAGGCCGTCTTCTTACTTTTCAGCTGATCATGCAGAGGCTCAAGTAATTACTTTTCAGCTGATCATGCAGAGGCTCACAGATTACCTGAGCCTTGCTTAGGCATTAGGCATTTTTTGGTAATGGGTCATGTTTCTTATTAATTGTGTGGGCCTTCAGAAGATGCTTTCATAACATACACAACAGAGA